TTTTTTTTTTTTTTTTTTTTTTTTTTTTTTTTTTTTTTTTTTTTTTGCAGTTTATTTGTCCACTATTTACCACAATCCAGAAATAATAAACTGTTCTTATTATTCTTACTTGTGTATTGTGTTACTCTTAAAATTAGGAAAGAAAGAAGTAGATCTTAGTTTTCATAGATAGACCCCAGACATAAGAAAGATGTATATTTGCAACTGATTGCTTCTTTTTTTTCACAAGACGTTTGTCCCTGTCAAGCATTGGAGAAGCCCTCAGAAAGGTGATAAAAAATTGATTTGTTTTTAACGTGTTTTACAATTATTACACATCCAGGTAATTAATTTTTCCTTCAAGTCAAACGTCTGATAGCCAACATAATTTTCTAGTCACTGGTGTAGGATAACTACCGTGCTAGTATTGTAATGTTAAGTTCTAATTATTTGAATTGCATCAATACGTTTAGTACCGTTTAGGTAAACTAGTACTATAACATAAATTCATATTCATAATGTTCTAATTATTTTAATTGCATCAATGTGACAAANAGGGGGGCTGCAGGCCCCCAGCTTTGGAAATTATGTGGTTACATTACATTACAGAATAATGCTGTCTGCATAATTTCCAAAACTTGTAAATAAAGCTTCTAGTGAATTAGTTCCTTTTTTAGAATTATTTTCTTTTAATAAGTTTTAGATTTTACTCGGATTGAGACTGTTGATGGAGTGTGATTGATTGATTATGTAGGCTTTGAATATAACTATTTTTGGAATTATAGCAGTTTCATTAGATGTGTGAATTGTGACCATTTATGTCTTTAATGCAATTTGAGTGTCTTTACATCCCGATTTCAACACTCTGGCATTCGTGTATTGCTTAAAATTTTCAGGCAAGAAAGTCATCCCCTCCCTCCCCCCACCAGTCCAAAGGTGCCTGTATGCCTGTGTGTATTGTTCATCTGTTAATAGTTGTGCTTACTCCATTATATTCATTACACGATTCATTCGACTCCTAAACTGGCTGCTATCATTTAGGCAGTGTTAAAAACTTCTCAGTTCAACACTTGTTACAAGCACATTGCTACAACAGGTTTTACTCTGATGTGGCTGCTAGTTCTTAAGGGGAAGAAGAACTGAGTGCAACCAATCCCAGCAAAATTAATTTTTATATAGCACAATCCAGAGGGCTTTGGTGTCCTTACTCATCTTGTTGTGTGTTGTTCAAGGGGCAATACCACCGATTGGACAGATATCAAGAAGATATTTTTGCAATCTTGGAAAAGGCTAGAGAGATCAGCCGTTCAGATACAGAGGTGAGAGATTTCACCAAACTACACTACCTTCTTTACGTTTTTTTTTTTTTTTTTTACCGGTAGATGCTTTCAAGTTTTTCTCTTAGGAAGGACATTCAAGATCATGCATTCTAATAGGCTCAGTGCAGGTCTTCTACTGTCAGTGACTTAATGTTGCTTATAGAAGATGACTAGTACTGAGGTTACTGAAATTATCTGGATGGTTGGGTTAGATAACAGATTTTACCACCCAGAGAGAGGAGAGAGGAGGAACGTTTAAAAGGTTTTAGTTGTTTGAGTGGGAATGACGTGTTTTTCATGTCTATGGAAGCATAATGCATTATTTTGATTTTTTTTCAAGTTGGTTTCTAGTATTTTTTGGATTGAACTAAGTGACTTTAGTTATGGTGTAAGGTAAAGTTTAGTTCTTGATATGATTAGATATGAGTTATGTTGCCTGCTTGAGGCTTGAAGCTTTTTGTTTGTGTCATGTAAACGTTTGTTTTGTCCTGTTAGATACAGTTTGTACAGCTGCTACAATGAGTGATGATTATACTTCAAGAAATGGCTTATAAGGCTTTTCATAGAGTCAATGGGCTTTTTGGCTTCCCATGCCAATGTCTTGTCCAAAGCTGCGATACTGCTGCTATTTTATCTGATAACTATGAGGTCAAAAGGAAGACTTGCTGGCTGAGAGAGATTTGGTTTGAAATTTAAGACTAAGGGCTTGTCTGTTCAACAAAACAGGTCTTTTTCGAGGATTATCTCAACTGCTTTTGTCCATGATTGTAGGTATTTAGCAGTATTTTACTCCCCCCTTCCACCCACCCCCACCCCTTCGACAAGGAAACCAACAAAAACGAAACAAATGACTGAGGCAAGTGCCTTGGTTTGCCTCATATTGACTACGGCTCTGGTATTTGTTGTTTGTTTAACAGATGTATGATGATGCAGTGGAGTTACAGCAGTACTTTGTGATTCAGAGGGACAAGCTGTGTAAGGATGGAGAGAGGTTTGTTTCTCCAGCCCTTGTTGTTATCAAAAGGCACCTTCTTCAAGAGCTGGATGAAGAAAGAAAAGCAAAAATTGAAGCTGAAGGCAAGGAAGATGAAAAGCAAAGGGAGCTGGAGAGAAGAGAGGGAAAACAACAGCTTCAGGCAAGTTGCAATGAAATTATAAATGAATTGTTTAATTCATTCAATAATTCCATGCATTGTAGTATTTGTTTACTCATAAAGTAACTGAAAATGATGTTCTCTCTCTGATTGGTACAAGTAAGTATCAAGTTGGTTTATTGTTTTCATGTGGAATCAAGTTTTTCTTGGACAAATCAACATTAAGAAAGTTTCCGAACCCTTTATTTCCCCATGGCACACAAGACATTTTGGTGCGAAGACACACTTTTTTCACAAACCCTCTCTATGTGTTGTATCCATATAAGCACACCACTTAAAATATAAGCAAGAAAGCCTCACAACAGACTCAGGTTGCCTTGTTTTACATGTACTAACAGTGAATTGCCGAAAAAAATTGTGCTTGCCCAAGTATAAAGAAATCAACCAAGCGGCATCGTGGTGGTCCTTTTTTACAGTTTTTTACAGTCTGTACAACCTGAGCCCACTAGTAGGGATGCATACATGTAGGAAGCTGCACAGTACGTTTTTCCAGTCCAAAAGCACGGCCAAAGATCGTAAATTACAAACAAAGGCAAGATTTAAAATCCACCATCCATTAGACCACACTGCAGAAATACATGTTTTACTGCTTATCAAATAATACTTGAACTTTTACATGGTACAGGTGCCAGTTAGTGATGAAGCTTGTGAACTTGAACTGACATACAAAGATATTCAAATACATGTTGGAGACTTTGTGTTCATAGAACCAAGGTATTTAAACTGCTAAGCGTATAGAAATCCTTCTTTTGTACATGTATCTCACCAGGTCAGCATGCTTGTGCGTTCTGAAGAGATAAAACTTCTTTATTAGGGGTTTTAGACAAGTACATGTATGGGTATTATGGACTCCAAATTGTTTTAGGTGTTTGAAAATTAATGTTGCAACATTTATAATAATGCATCTCTATTTAGTTGATAAATACATCTGAAAAGTTCCACTACATTGATACTAATATTAAAGTTGATGTAAATAATTTGTTTACCTTTAAGGGATGAAAAACTTCAGCCGCATATCATATCAGTGGAAAAGCTTTACAAAGATAGTAATGGTGAGCAGGTGAGATATGAATTAAAGAAACTATTATTAGTGCTATCTTATCTGGAAGATCAAGAGAAAGAATTTCCTAATCAAACAGTTGGTTTAAAAATTGCATTCCTTGTGTAATGCCTGCTTTAAATGCAAGGTGTCTCTGCTTATTATTGACAGTTATCTTTAAGCTCTAAGTTTGTGTTAACGAGAAAACAAAAAGCTCTAAGCTGGTATTAACTAATGCACTTTTGCAGGATGTGTGACTCACACTATCAATTTAATCAATTTTCAAGTCAATCGTCTCTTTTTAAAGAGGCTTGGAAAAACTCCCCAACAGTGCTGAACCTGTGACCTAAACAGAGTTTGCAAATCAATTTTATTTTTTTATTAATATATTTTCGCTGAATGAATTTTTAAACTCAGTTCAAAGTACTCAATATGATATTTATTCTCTCCGTTACCTCAGTCTTCATGCATTGCCAATTAACTATAGACTAGTCTATAGAGAGCTATATGATTGATGACTATAATAAATAGATCAATTTCTTAAGTTCTAACATATAATAGTAATTGAACTGAGTGGAGTGCAATTTGGTCTGAAATCACAAGTATGATTTTAGACCAAAATTGCAAGACATGAAGTTCAATGGCCACTTTATTAGATCCATTTTGAAATCACACAATTTAATTACCTTATAGCTTAGATTTTGGTGTATTGTTCCAGTAGTCAGTTTGTTAAAAATAGTGGAACCGGAAACACCTTTACATCTCATTTAGTATACAAAACGATGTCATGTGATGAACACTCATTCGAGCATAACAAAGGAACAAGCAGTACTGAATTCAGAACAAAAACAGTCTATTTATGTATAAACGTTCAATTCTTTCACCTGAATCAATGATAGAAGACCTTCCTTTCTTCTGTGGTTGAGGCTGAGACTTCTTATTGTCTTTGGAGAAGGAATTTGAAGTGGGGTCTTGTGTAATTCTGCAATGGATTTCTTTTGAGTTGTGAAACTCCCTCAAGTGCACAATGCCAAGTGGATAGTTTTTCTCTCTTAAATACCATTCAATGGCACTCTGCATGATTTTAAGGGATTCCAGCTTGTTATCATCTCCATTTCTTTTTGTGACCTTGGCATAGAACTTTAATACTCAGGACCTTGTCAAGTTCTTGCAGTGCCATTTGTTTCAAGATATTTTCAAGATGGTGGGACCGGCACCAGGTAACCCGAAAACACTGACCCCTGGTCTGCGGACCCCCACTATGGACCGGGTCTGTGGACTACCCTACAGACCTGTCCATGGACTACCCCTATGGACCCCCTATAATTACCACCCCCAAAATAGAATAAAAATAAATAAACATTTCACTTATGGGTTGTCTATAAGAGATTGCTTGTGTCAGTGAAATTTCGAGTGTTACACTGTGCAAATGTAACAGACTTTTGTAACAGATGTTTTTAACACCCCCCCCCCCCCCCCCCNGCGTAAGGAGAGCCCAATGGCAAAAAGAAGGAAAGTTCTTACCTTCCATTCGTGGCTCAATGTAGCTCTGGAAAATTTGGTTTTAGGTGGTTTAAGCTTGTTTGAATCTGTAATTCCGCTGAGCAAATCAAGTTGGCGAACCCACGGCAGAATGAGCTGAACAAAATGGCAGAGGGGAAAGAGCACAAATTTTGAGGCTTCCTGGTATCTTTTATATACTGTATGGCCACAGCAAAGGAAATGGCAATGTATAATGATATAACTTGAGCCCAAGCCTCAACCCAAGTCCATTACATTTGCACAATAACATTCAAAATTTCCCGACACAAGTAATCTACAGTTGTATTAGACAACCCGTAAGTGAAATATTTGTTATATTTTTATTCTATTTTTGTGGGGGTCCGCAGACCGGGGGTCACTGTTTCTGGGTTTACTCACCGGCACAGATCTTGAGCAGAATGATGTTGAAGAAAAATTGCCAAAATATTAATCAAAATGGACACTAAAAGTTGGAAACTTCCCTTAAAGTAGGTTTTCTGCCTGAAGGAACTCATCATTGTTATTCAGAAACTGTAATTAATTAAATTCGTCAATTGTTTTGAAAGAAAACCAACAACAAAGTTTTGGTAATAATAGTTGCAAAATTCGCCACACAATGGCTTTTTGTCTTTCATTTTCCTGACATTCTATTGGTTACTTTTTACTTACCTTGAAATCTGATTGGTTGGTTTGTTTTACTGTCCTAATCTCATTGTTTGAGAAAAAGATGTGATTAAGAGCAAAACATAGTGCAATTGGTGAATAAATCATTCCACTGAGAGCCAATCAGCTTGCAAGGATACCAATGATTTCAAAATGGATTTAATAAAGTTAGTATTGTTCAGTAGTTAGTTCTTGAAGTGATATTTCTTGTCAAAATTGTTATTCAAAGATGTTTTCCTTTGCTGAATTTTTAATTACTAATTTTCTTTCACCTCCTTAAGTAGTTCCACACTCCACACAATTAACATTGTATCTAAACTAGTTTCCTTTTTCTCCTTTTGGTCTTTTTCCCTGTCTTTTTCTAAGAACAAAATTGAAATTACCTTTGATTTTTGTCACAATAGCATTGAATCTACTGTTTGATGTGTTTACAGGTAATTTAATTTGTAAATTGTCTAAATACTCTCTTACAGTATTTGTATTAATAAAACTGTGGGAACGATCTGTGCTCATAGTTCTTTAAAAAACGTTTAAAACAGATCTAAAAAATTGTTTCCAAATTTTCGACCGCCTTCTGCGGTCTTCTTCAGAGAATGATGATTTCGCATGATTCACAGAATTTTAATAAGCTGGGACGTTATTGTTCGTTGCCCCCTAGGGAGGCAACCAGTGAAGCATAAACCCTTGGGAAGGGTGCTCTTTCATTTACGGAGTTTTTGTCTAAGAAAGAGTGCAAGGATTCCAGAAACAGTCTTTTGTTCTTGCCACTCACACCTGTTTCAAGAATGTTGGCATAAATAGGATGTATATCATGGCCGCTTTCTGCATGCTGTTTAATTGCGGAATTGACATTTCCATTGGTTCTGGGCTTGTGTTTGGCCCCCCAAGATTTCCAATTTCTTCTGCTTTCCCCAACATACGTGAAAAAACATGTCCTACAGGTCACTTTGTACACAATGCCTTTTAATTGCTCTTTTGTATTGGCGTGCCGACTTACGAATTATCGAAGTGCCTGGCCTCCGTCCTAAAACACCTCGTGAGTGAAACCAAGTATTCTGTCAAGAATGCTAAACAGTTTGCAGAGTTTATAAGTGACCAGGAAGTAGCCAATGACGAAGTGATTGTGTCTTTTGACGTGGTTTCACTATTCACCTCCATACCAATCGACATGGCTATAGACATTATTCAACGAAAACTCGAGAGATCTGATGGTTGGAGGAGTCACACACAGCTGACCAAAGGCCAAGTCCTGGATCTACTCTCCTTCTCTTGCACAACAGCTATTTTGTATGCAAGGGAACCCAATACCATCAGGTGTCGGGGTGTGCCATGGGATCTCCGGTGGGTGCAGTGATCGCCGAGCTTGTAATGCAAGAAGTTGAGGAGAAAGCATTAGAAACTTCGCCCGTTAGACCAAAGTGGTGGTGTCGCTATGTGGACGATTCGAACGCTTGTATTAAGAGGGATGGTGTTGAAGTTTTTCACAGCCACTTAAACTCAATAAATGCCAATATTCAGTTTACAGTAGAGATGCCTACAACAACTATGGGCACGAACAGCATAGCCTTCTTGGACACTAACAACACTGTTAATGAGGATGGTAAGATCGAGGTGGGTGTATACTGCAAGGCCACACATACGAGCAAGTATTTAGACTTCATTCACACAGCCCAGCGCAAAACAAGAGAGCTGTCGTGAAGACTCTAATGGACCGAGCTAAATGCATTCCATCAACAACTGCACAAAGACAAAACGAGAAACGAAGTGTTGTTAGTGATCTAAAAGCTAATGGTTATCCTGAGAGCTTCATCAAGTCAGTACGTGAATTGAACAGAACAAACACGCAACCAAGACCCCAGGAGAATCCAAAGGCATACGCATCGATTCCATATGTGAAAGGAGTGTCAGAATGTGTTCGACGCATTTTGAGCTGCGAAAACATCAGGACAGCTTTCAAACCAGTACAAACATTGGGAAATGTTTTCAAAAAGCCCAAAGACCGGCCGACAAAAGAGCAATTAAAAGGCATTGTGTACAAAGTGACCTGTAGGACATGTATGTCGGGGAAAGCAGAAGAAATTGGAAATCTTGGGGGGCCAAACACAAGGCCAGAACCAATGGAAATGTCAATTCCGCAATTCAACAGCATGCGGAAACCGGCCACGATATACATCCTATTTACGCCAACATTCTTGAAACAGGTGTGAGCGGCAAGAACAAAAGACTGTTTCTGGAATCC